GAACTCCCTCTTCCTTGCCTTCTAGCTCCATGACTCCCGCAGTTTTGTATGCAGAGTGACACGTCGGTAGGAGAGATGGAGGATGTTCCCCATACAAATAAATCTGTTGGTGGTTATGGCATGCTTTGGGGACATGGGACTTGTGGGTTTGAATCTTTTCAGGCTGGAAAGGGCCTATAACCCAGGCCTTCAACTCCCTGGGTGAATATTTTTATTTAACAAGCTACTGGGAAAATGGTGATCACCATCTCCCCTGTCCTCAGCATTTCCCACTGCCTAACTTTTGGCACCTCTGGGCTTCCTGGGTTGCCCTTTGAAGGTACTTGCTTCACTCCCCTCTCTGTAGAGAAAACATATTCACCTACACCTGATCAAACTGTACTGTGCTCTTGTGTCAAGACACCTAGATGTTGGACACTCCAACTTTGAAATGTAGGCACCCCTGAAACCAAACTGGATTGTACCTTAGATCAGTGGTTGGCGACTTTTCAGAGCCACAGCCTGCAGCTGTTTCTCCCTGCCCCTCAGCTATGGCACGGGCACAGCTCCTCACTAACCAGCAACAGCACAGCAAAGTCTTTTGCTGGTGGAATGCTGCTAAAGGCCACTGCCAAAGCCACACAGCACCATGGGCCGGATCCAACTTGTGAGCTGTATGTTGTCAACCCCTTCCCTCAGTCCCCAAAATGTTGAAATTCCCATCATAAAACACACCACATCTAACAACAAGATTATATTAAATACAGACAAGACTTTTAAAAGTGTGCTTAGAATATAAAAAGTACAAAACTTACTGGATAATGTTGTGTACATTAGGCAGCAACTTAAAATATAATTATAGTCTGTAACAGACTACATCTATTGTATTTTCAAGTGAGGAATCAACATTATTCAGTGTAATGATTTTCCTGCCCCTAATTCTCCCCAGTTTCCATAAAATTGACATCTAGTTTCCTCAAAGCTTACTGTACAGCAGTTGTTGGAGATTCTGGCCTGGAATACAACTTTATGAGGAGGAAGATATATAAATATATTTGCAAAAAATATTTTTAAGGTATAATCAGCTTCACAAATACATCCATAGTTAACTTGCCTTTCTCTGGTCCCATCATAACATCCTGGAAGACCAATCATATGTATTTACTTGGCTTGTAATATTTAAAGAAGTTATTCTCAAAATCCCAGCCTATAACTTCAGTGCATGTAATGACAGGCATTTCAAAATTCAGGGTCTTGTCTTGTACTCAGAAGTCTTATTCCCTAACACACTGATGAATGCTCATACCCATGGAAGAACCAGATCTAATAGCTAGGAGCTATGAATTTCCCTTCCAGAGCACAAAAAAGACCTTCTCTGCAAAGCCACTCTTCATCCCTCTGATTAAGAGGTTTGAGGGATCATTATAACTATTACATCCACAATTCTCACAACTACAGAGACAGAAACAGAACACAGTCCAAAGCCTGAACTCATATCTCATGTTTGAAATAGCATACAGGAATACCAGAGAACAACCCCTCCCTCTCATTCACTTGAAAGCCCACCTCTGAACAGTTAAGGTTCTGAGGTATGGACAAAATATACCGTACAGTAGGGCTGTGCGAAATTTCAGCAGCCATTTCATTTTGGAGGTGTCTCGGGCTGTTTCGGCACCCGAAACGCTGAATCTAAATCAAAACGGAAGGCTCCAAAACATCTCCAAAATGAAACGAGGCATCTGAAATGTTTTGGAAAATTTCAGAGTTTCAGAGCCAGGCTCGCTGCTGCCCTGCTGCATGACTCGGCTCCAGAGGAAGCAGAGATCCGCACTGGGGGTCTCTTTGCTGCTGCTGCCCTGGTGACACAGAGCTGCACGGGGAGGGCAGCGGTGGCAAGGAGACCCCAGCACAGATCTCTGCTCCCTGCAGAGTCAGGTTGTGTGGCAGGGCAGTGCTGGTTCCTGCTGCACGACCTGGCTCCACAGGCAGCAGAGATCCAGGGCAGCGTGGGGTGGACAGCAGCGGTGAGGAAACCCCTGGCATGGATCTCTACTCCCTGTGTAGCCAAGTTGCACAGCAGGGACCAGCAGGCTTGCTCGCTACTCTGCGCTGCTTTCCTGCTCCATGACCTGATATGACAGGGATCAGAGATCCTTGTGGGGATCTCCTCGCCTGCACGGAAGGCATGGGCCCTCCCCCTCCCCTGGACGAGCCACCCACAGTCCTGTCCTGCTCCCTGCTGGGACCCTGCAGCCCCCAGCCCCGCCTGGCTGGGCAGTAGGGCTGCACAAAGCTTGCAGCCCATTTGAAACAGATTCAGAGGAGATTTGGTGGAAATGAAACAAGACAGTGATCTGAAACACCGAAATGAATCATTGTCCTCTGAAATGGCCGAATCCGAAACCGAATTGAAACACAGCTGTTTTGCACAGCCCTACTGTACAGTAAGCATATTATTATGCAGATGATGCTATGTATCCATACTATTCACACTCATGCTGTAAACCACATTTGTGGGATTCTTTGCATTAAAAAGCTAACATTGAACAATCTCTTTTCATAACTCTAGCCTCTTCCCATTTGGACAGGCCTTACCCAGTTGGTATTTTGGATTCATGCAAAACATTAACAAAGTATTTGCAACATATAAAAGAACTCCTAATCAAAGGAGCTGTAAAATATATTACTGCACTGAGTCTATTGTACACCTTAAGTCAGGGGTGTCAATCTCAGCTTCTGCCCCAGGTTGAATTTGGACCAGATGGATCTTTGTAGGTCAGATTCAGCCTGGGGTATGTGGCAGCAATGATGACAAGTCTGACTCCAGCCCAAGGCATGTGGCAGTGGTGACAACAGCTCCAGGGCCAGCATGGGGGCATGCAGAGGCAGAATGGCAGCTCCAGCTTCTGCCGTATGCCTGCGCTGCATACACTACAGCATAGTGGCAGCTCTGGCTCCTGCGCAGAGCATGTGGTGATGACTCCAGCATGGGGCAGCAGTGGAGTTTGTGGTCAAGGAGGTAGGCTGTGGCAGTAGACAAAGTGGCTGGAGGATGATTAAGGCTGTATCAGCCATCATTTACCCCCCTGCCACCAATCACTATGCCCATCCAGGCACAAGGGCCCCAGATTCTGTGGCAAGCCACTCCCCTCAATTTCCAGGTGCCTGCCAGGACAGACAGAGCAGCTCTACAGGGTTATATATTTGACAGTCCTCTCAAAGGGGTTTATTCCTGAAGAATAGTTCTGACTTTCCTCTTTTTCAGGGTGCCACAGGATATGGTTCTCAACCTTTTTAGACTCAAGACTCCCCCCCAGAAAATGCCAGCTCTTCACTTGCACTCTTCTTTTTGATTATGTAAAGATAACAGCAACTTTCATGTTGCAAAGAACTCACAGGAAGACCACAACAAGGCAGAATGTTTCGACACTCTGGATTCCTATTTGACATCTTAAGAGTTTGTTTTGTGAATCATGTGCCAGTGTTTGTACTATGGGGTACAGCTTGCATAGGAGCTTTCATCAGCAACAGCTTCTACTGAGAGGATATACATGTCCATACCTACTGAAAACTTTGGAAATCCCCCTTTTTCAACATGATAATTCTTAATTAAAATAATTTCCAAGCCATGACAGAAACAGAAAATTAAGTATTTTATCAATGAAAAAATATCGGTATAGTTCTACCTTCATCATATTTGCATTATCCAGTTTAGCTTGCTCCAGTTTAGGCTTCAAATCAACCAATTCTTGCTTCATTTCTCCAACCTAGACAGACATTTCCTTATAAAATTATCACAGTAGCAAATATTTAAAATAGTGCAAATAAAAGAAAAATTTAACTGTGATCTTAAATCAAATATATTACTCAGATTCATCAGTATTACTCAGAGAAACATCAATATTATAATAATAAAAAGTATGAAAATAGCATGTGAAATTATATTCTACTGAAATCAGTAGTAAAACTGTCATGTACTTCAATAAGGCCAGGATTTTATCCAGCAAAGGGTTATCCCCTTGTTATATGTTTATACATATAGCATAGGGAAGCTAAGATCTCTAACCATTATCACAACAAAATAAATACATAATGACTGCAGAGAAAGGGAAA